TTCCTGCTTGCTAACCCAATTTTTAGGCATAAAACCAATCAGATTGCAGGGAAGAAAAAGAAAGAGAAGGCTGTACAGTGTTTCTGCCATACCAGTTAGACGTACAGACTCAGAAAAATGCCTGGCGATAATAACAGGAAACTGGCATTGCCAGGGCAAAAGAGGGCAATGAACCTCACAGCCAACCAGGAGTGGAAAGGGTAAGACCAGAAACAGCAATTCCCATAGCATAAGCTGCCACAGAACCAGAAGCCTAAGCCAACATCTTAGTTTGAATGTTTTACAGGTAAATGAGGCAATCTACTTAAATGAACTCCTAGTATTTAGACCCATTTAAAACTTATTTTGAAAAGCATGTGATAATTTGGTAATTTGCAAGTTTTAGCAGCAGGTCATTTTTTTCCCCCTATCTTTTCAATCTACTTTTTAAACATTTAAAAATCTCTTCTGACACACTAACATATCCCATTCTTTGAATGGAACCTGACAAAGACAGGCTCTGCTTTAAAGATGCACTTGTTGCTGTTCCATGTATTAATGATAAACTCACTTTAAATCCATACCACTAAGTTGAAGAAATCCTTAAAATCATTTTTAAGTTATTATCCAGTGAAATATTAACACCCAACACTAGGAAAAAAAATAAAATAATGCTTATGTTCATTAAAACTTGATGTGCACTTTTAACTTACTGTTTATTAAAAAGATTTGTAGTCCTGTTTTTATTTTTAGTATAAATAACATCAAGTAAACACCATATAAATAACTGCTATCAGATGCAAGAATGGGTAGGACCACATCACCATCATCTTTACCTCTTTAATTTTGTTCCTCTTCTCTCGGATATCCGGGTCTGCTGGTTCTCCACTGTTTATCCCTATAAGATTTGGTAAAGGAACAGGGGGCAGTGGCTTGCTGTCTTTCTTTTTCAACTCTTGCACTACTTTGTTCTTTTCTGTCTGAATCTCAGCTTGAATCTCATCACGTGATTTCTTCAATTTCTCCTTAGCTTCTTCCAGAGCTTTTTCATGATCTGCTCGGATCTTATTTCTCAGTCGTTCCTCTTCTTCTCTAGAGACACAAATGCTAGTCAGCATCTCATTACTAAAAACACATTGCTTACAAACAAACTGCCGCTTCAAAACAGAAGCCGCATCCCAAGTTGGTTTACTCCAAGTAATTCTAATGATTCAGACAAGTTTACTGAATTATGTTAGTGCACAATCCTACACTATTTTTGCTATGAACCCCAAAAGAGCAGCGCACACACATCAGCAACACTATTGTAGAAAAATGTAGCATAGGGGTTTTCTAGATTGTATCTCAGCACCTTTGCTTGTCTACTCAAGAATTTAGAGCGGAAAAGCCTGACATCCTGTACTTCAATTACAGGACATGTACAGAGGCACATCTAGCAATCGTTCAGTTTAAAAAAAAAATCAGAAGGGCTCTTCCTTGCCTTCTGCACAATAAATGCATTGTACACAACTTGTCAAGATTTGAAGTAACCACTACAAGAAAAAAAAAAAATCACAGCCACTCCTTTTATTAACAACAACATGCGAGCTGCAAGAGCTGCAAACCCCACCGCAGCATGTTTTGTCTTGAATTCAGAACTCATTGTTCCAATCAGTATGGTCCATGAACCTCACAAGTTAAATGCAGAGTTAACTATAAAGCTATTCAGGAACATAAGAGCTTTTCATAAAGCATGATTTTGAAACTCACTGTCAACAAAACCAACATCATCTTGGTGCTAAGCACAATCTTCCAATCATGATCTTTAATGTTCAGTAAAAGTTTTGAGATTCACACACAAAATGAAGAGTGCTGTTTTAAAGCCTGGGTTAAACAAGAAGTTATTCTAACAACAGACAAAAATGGTCCGTTCCAGTCCTAAAGTATTTCAAGGCATCAGAAAGATACACAGACTCGATATAACACAACCTTTTCAAGCTTCGTTAGTCATTGAGCCACTCTATATTTTAAAGTAAGCCAAAATAGTTGTAGGTATTTAAAACAAGCACTAGTTACAAAAAACCCCACACTCCCTCCCTGTTTCCTCCCCCAGGCAAAAATACTTTTTCCTTAAAGAGCATTAAGGAGAAGACAGTGGATAATGGAAAGAAAAGGCAGCAAGCAGCAAGCCAAGTAAGAAATATCAAGCTTGGCTTAACTGCTTTTAGGAGGAAACGAGCCACTTGCCCCATATCACATGTTTTTTCCGGTACACTGAAAATGTACCAATGAAAAGGAGCAACCACCATTTGATATGTGAGAATTAGAATAGAAGAGTTCAGCCAGAAGGGACCTACAGCGATCATCTAGCACAACTGCAATTAAAAGCCAATCCAAAGTTTACAGAAAAAAAATAAACACAAGATTGACAACTGTTGACCAAACATTGACAACAAAAATAGGAATGTATCTACATAT